CGGTGGCTGCCGCGGCCCTGTGCCCGAGCCCCTGCCAAGGACTGTCAGTACGTGTGCGCGATTCGTGCTTAAAGCATTTCAAGAGTGTAGCTCCGTGTCCTCCCCGCCCGTGGCTGGAAGTGACGAGATCTGGAGCGATAATGAGAACAGAGTGAAAGACGACGACGCTGACCGCATTGGCCCACTCGGGTGTCTGGATGGACACGGCGACCGCCTTCTGTCCTGAGCTGGTACGGACGAAGAAAACGTCCTTGTCCTTAAGCCACTGTGTGTGTCACAAGCGTGCAGCCTTTTCCTCCAACACACTTGTCCTGGCCACCACGCTGCAACCCCGCTGTTCACCTGCTCCCCACCTTTGATTCTTTTATATTCCTACCCCGGCCAAGCTTTCTCCTAAAATCTTACCCACACTTCAAGACATTGTTTATACCACCATCGGAGCCTAACAGGAGTCTGCCTGTGTCTATAATAAATCTATGTTTACACTGCTGTGACGTTACTGGGACTGTCTTGAACTGATCGTAAATACTTCTCAGAAAACTGTTTTCTATTTTACTGAAAAAAATTATTTCATATATTTCTGTCTAACGATAATATAAATAAGATACAAAATTGGTTAGTGGTTCAATTCCAAAGTAAGTCTACCTGAAACTGCATTACAGATTTGGTGGCATGGTGGTTAAAGACACTGGACTCCCACATGGCCGACCATGGTTCGAGTCCTGTTTAGTAGCCGTGGGACCTTTGGTAAGTCTCCTGAGTTTCTTTGCTTCACATTGGAAACTGGAGGACGAGTAACAGTACTTCAGGAAGCTGCTGTGGGGAGGAATGTGCCCAATCCACTCAGCCACGATAATAAAAGTCACTAAATAGTTAACAGCAATCATCTTACATTGCTTTGTGCCTCCCATCTCAGACCTCCTAAGACACAAGAACGTCACGGACCCTCAATAACTACTTAAATTCTCCAGTTTCTAATCCCAACAGCTCACTAGATTGATCTAAACTACAGTCTACCCAAGTTAAGAAATCCAGAATCCAGGCCAGTGGGCAGTGCGGTAGTTAAGGCTCTGGACTCACACGTAGCTGGCCAGTTCGAGTCCAGGACCCAGTGGCTTGAAAACCACAATAGATAATAAGTAAATGTTAAGAAAGGAATAAAGATAAAGAAAGAAAGAAAGAAAGAAAGAAAGAAAGGAAGGAAGGAAGGAAGGAAGGAAGGAAGGAAGGAGAGAGGGAAGGAGGGAGGGAGGGAGGAAAGAAAGCAAGCAAGCAAGCTCTAGACCCTTTCCCGGTGGGCCGCTTCTCTCTGCGTGCAGCCAGGTCTCCTGCTCCTGGAGTTCTAGCTGGGGCCCTGTACTCGACTGCACTCAGTCTCACACCGCACGCTGCACTACTCATCCTCCCAATGGCAGAGAACGTCGAGAAGCTCTGCATTAGCTGTCCCGGCCCACTGTGGTTTTGTTTTCCCTCCAGCAGATACTGAACGCTGAGAGCTGCGGAATGTCTGCATTTACTCATTATCAATTATCTGTGCCTTGGAGGACCAGCAGACAGTGTTACGGTCACTTCACTGGATTCCCATGGAGTTGAGTCCCAGACCCGGCGGCTTAAAGCTCACTCCAGACGCCTGTGCGTGCATGCCCCAAATCCCAGGAGGAGCATATGGAAGAGAGGGGACTACAGCATGGCCATCCCCCTGGAGGTGATTTCTCACATTCTGTCTTTCTGTCTCTCTGGCAAGAGCATGCATCCCATAACAAAAATCTCTCTTAAAAAAAAAACAAAAACAAAAACAAACCTGTGCCTCGTGATACTTGTTTCAAACCTTTTTATTCCACAACTGCAGAATGACCTTCCCTTCTGCCCAGCCGCTAGCCTGACTGCGAGGGGCAGGCAGACACCGGGCGTCTGTCCCGTCATGCCTCGCTTCCCCCAGAGCATGGCAGGCGTGTCTTACGTCCTCTGCCCCTTCCTTACATTCTGGGAAACTACATCTCGCCTTCTCTAAAAGTGAGTACCCATTCTACTTCGCCTTCACGTCAACAATTCTAAAGTGGCACATAAACAGGGAAGCACACGGAATCCACAGAGGAAGCCGAGCGAGAGCACACGGCAGCAGGCGGGAGAGTGGTCTCCGCGGACATCGGCCTCCTGTCTCCTCACTGAGCTGGAGGGGTGAAAGGTGAAACATCCCAGGTCTTGACATGGGATCTCTGCCCCTCGAAAGGCCTGCACTCAGGGTTTACAACCTCACCCACGTTTCAAAGTCTCCCGTTTCTGTGGCCAGGCCTCCTGGCTTCTGTAAACCCTTCCTTTGACCCTGCCACCGCATTGAACTACCCCTCCATGAATCCACCTGCACTTCCACACCCAGAGCCAGCAGAAGTCGGAGAGCACAGACACGGGGATGGCGGCGCCCCAGCCATGGCTATGCGTCTGCACCCTGTGCAGGGGAGGTCCTGGGTGCACGGGGGCCCGACACTCTCTCTCCTGGGAGTCTGAAAACTTGAAGGGGAGAGATGGTGTTCTCTCAACAGAGCTCACAAAAGTCGGGGCTGCCAAGCCCCTCAGAGCTGTCCAGGTCCTTCCTGCCCCTTCCAGAGCTTGGCCGCGAGGCCTCTCCTTCGGAATCTGTGAGCTACTCCCCAAGAACAGCCAAGCGCGTCTTTCTGCTGAGTTAGTCAAAACTGGTTCTATAGCGTGCAACGAGAGCCGGAACTCACCAGAACACAGAGCTGGCAGCTAACACACATCCCCCAGGCACAGACAACGCCGCTATCTTAAAAAGGCGTTCCACTTGGGGCCAGCAGGTAGCATAGTGGTTAAAGATACTGACTCCCACGTGGCTGACCACAGTTCAAGCCCTAGACCTGGTGCTTCCTTTCTCACTTTCTCTGTGTTGAGTGCACATACTCTATAGCAAATTTAAAATAATAATTAAATTAAAAATTTTTTTGGAGAGGTTTTTGCTATTGGATGTGTGCACTTGCCAGAAAGACAGAGAAAGAAAGAAAGTGAGAAATCACCCCCCCAGGAGGGATGGCCACGGCGCAATCCCTTTTCCTCCATTCTCCTCTCGGGATCTTGGGCACGCACATGTACCTGGCCTGAGTTTAAGCCACCGGGTCTGGGACTCGAACCGCAGTCGGCTACATGGGACTTCAGCAACATAGGCATTACACCAACTGCTAGTCTCAATTAAAAATTTTTTTTAAAAAAAAGGTATTCTATTCACTAGTAATCAAGAAATTGCAAAATAAAATCACACACTGCAAAAAAAAAAAAAGGCAAAAATAAAGAATTTTGAGAATACCCAGTCTTATGAGGATGTGAAACAGCAGTTTATACACTAAGAGTCGGCACACTTCCGGGTGATTGTTCATAATTAAACATGTTACTGATTATAAACTGGCATGGCAATTTCAGAAGTTGATGTTATCTGTTAAAGTTGGATCACACATCCCTGCAAACCCTGCACTTGCCCGAGAAACTGGGATACACACACCAGGACACACAGCGGGGCTGTTCGAGGCAGTGTGCTGAGAGTCACTCGCTCCGGGAACGTCACCCACAGCAGAACCAACAGGCTACAGGGTGCTCACACACAGAAGACATGCATGACAGTCACATGTAACCACAGTGATTGGGGGACCAGCAGATGGCATAATGGGGATGTCACTGGACTCCCACGCAGTTAACCGCAGTTTGAGTCCTGGACCCGGTGGCTTAAACTCACGCCAGGCACATGTGTGTGCCCAAGATCCCAAGAGGAGAATGGAGGAGAAGGGACTGAAGCATGGCTGTCCCCCCAGGGGGTGACTTCTAGCTTTCTCTCTCTCTGTCTCTCCAGCAAGTGCACATGCCCTATAGCAAAAATATCTCTTTAAAAAAAAAAAAAAAAGGACAGTGGCTCTAAGACTGTGCGGGAGGTCCAGGTTCGAGTCCTGAGCCACCCTAAAGGTGGTGTGTGCCTGTGATTCAGCAACTTGAGGCTGAGGCGAGAGGATTGCCAATTCAAGGCTGCCCTGGGAAATGCAGCAAGATCCGGTCAAGGCAAAACAAACCGGCCAGGTACGGCGGTGGCCTGCAGTCCCCAGCTGAAGGATTCAGGCAGAAGGACAGTGACGGAGCAGATCCGACCGCAGAAGGAAATAAACAGATAAAAGTAAATGCCAAAAGTACATACTTTGAACTTTTAATATGAAACTAGCAAACAATATTGTTTGTAAGTACGCAAACTGGTAGTAAAAAGTGTTAATAAAAGGCAAGGAAAAAATGACTATAAAAGGTGGAGAGTGACAGCAGAGGGCCCGCATGGAGTGGTGAAGGTGTCTCGATCCCAAGATCCAGACAGGCCGATCACAAGCCACCTACATTTGAGCTCTGAGCAGCCCCTTTCAGGGACTGGGACAACTGAAGATTTTCTGCCCGGACTTCACCCTCCTGACCCCAAGATCTATCGAGGGTCAGAGTAATCCTCAATTCCACAGAATCTGCTGCACAAATGGAGAAAAACAGAACCGCGGAGAGACTGCAGACCACCTCTCCGGCACGCCTCTGAACACTCGGATTTGACTCCAAAAATTAGGAAAAATTGTATCATCCATCAGATGGCCAGCCACGGCAGAGGCATAAGAAGTATGAGAAGCCAAGAAAATCTCTCTCCCTCAAGGGGAAAGAACCTTCATCCTGCACAGACAGCACGAGGGAGCTCGCGGAAATGCCAGGTAACGGACTTAGAATACTCATCATGACAAAGCTAACAGAGATGCAGGAGCAGAGACAACCAACTCCAGAAGATGCAGAAGAAGAGACGAGTTCCAGGAGGTGAGGAAGTTTCTGCACGATCTGAAAGAGGAGATACACATCATAAAGAAGAATCAAACAGAACCGTTAGAGAGGAAGGCTGTAATACGGGAAATCAGAACCTCCGCTGAAAGTATTGAAGCAGATTAGATCATGCGGAAGGTCGAGTCTCAGATGTAGAAGAGAGAACCTCTGACCTAGAATAAGTCACCCAAAAGACTGAGAAAATAACCCCCCAAATTGAGAATAATACATGAGTAATACTAGATACCATTAAGTGTCCAAACATATGGATCACTGGTATCCCAGAAGGTGAAGAAACTAATACGGGCATTGATAATGTATTCCATTAAATCCTGGAAGAAAACTTTCCAGACCTAGAGAGAGGTATTCAAATATCTAGACCCAAGAAATACAAAGGACCCCACATAGAATCAACCCAAGAAAGATGGTCCCCAAGGCACACCATAGCCAGAATGACAAAAGCCACAGACAGAGGCAAGATACTAAAATTGGCAAGAGAGAAACATCAAGTTACTTTCAAAGGATATCCCATACGGCTAATGTGGGACCTTTCTTTGGAAACATTGCAAGTGAGGAAAGAATGGGAAAATATATTCAGTGGTAAGTGAAAAACAATTTCAACCAAGAATACTATACTCAGCAAGATTATCCTTCATATGGGAAGAAAACACAAAAACATTCTCAGATAAATAAAACCTGAAAGAATTTACCAAACCCAGACCAGCTCTCCAAGAAGTGCTGAAGGGAGTGCTCTACCAGGAAAACTACAGTCGGACACACAGAAATAGGAGTACAAGAAACAACCAAGAGAAGGGCCAGCCTAACGGGAGGGACAAGTCTGGGAAGATCAATAATGACGTTGAATGCTAATTTCCAGAATTTAAACGGAAAGATCAGACGGCAGTAACACTCAAATTCAACAGAAGAGAGATTAATTACATGAGGCTAAACTGGTGAAATAGAATTTTATGACTTTTAACTAAAACATCACCGATTTTCTTCTGTGCTTTGTGTTCCAGATTGAAGGATTTTTGTCTTCTCTTGAACTGCTGATAGGTTCATCTACCTACTGTTTGAACAGAATCCTACCTCTTTCCTTTAAGTCTTGAGCAAACTTAACATTTTTTATTTTGATCTATTAAAGCTAAAACAAGTTTTCTTTTTTTGCTGTAGGGTGCATGTGCTTGCCAGAAAGACAGAGACAGAGAGACAGAAAGCAAGAAATCACCCCCCAGGGGGGGATGGCCACACTGCAATCCCTTCTCCTCCATTCTCCTCTTGGTATCTTGGGCACGCATGCACATGCACCCAGAGTGAGTTTAAGCCACCAGGTCTGGGACTCGAACCGTGGTCAACTACATGGAAGTCCAGTGACACAGCCATTATGCTAACTGCTGGTCCCCAAACGATTTTTCTTTAAATTAAAAAATGTATTAAAAAATACATTTTAATAACTGTAGTAACCTATATAGGCCTAGCTAGATGCTACTTTATAGAATGTTCATTCTACTCACTGAGGTTTATCCCTAAAGTCAGATGTGTTCATGGATATGTATATATCAGCTGTGCTTGCTACTGAAAGTGTTTAGAGTAGTTAAGATCTTTTGTGAATCAATGAAGTGTGGGGGAAACAAAGGCATGGAAAGCAACCGTAGGCACCAGAGTCGGTGTGGGAGGAGGGTGGGAGATGGCAGAGGGTGAGAGGGAGGGTGTGGGGGGATCAAAACATATAATATACAAGAAACGAGAAATGGAAAATTAGTTGTTGATGATAACACGAATGGTAATATCCTTGACTGAGCCAATATATAGTGTATTCTGGATAGAAAAATCTCATTTTGTATACTATAATGATGTATGGTGAATTAATGTAAATAAATAAATTTAAAATAAAATAATTTTTTTAAAAAAGGTGCCTCGATCCCAAATGGCTGAACTTGTCATTTCAGTCCTGGACCTGGCAGCTTGAGAAACATGACACGGGTGCATGTGCGTGTGTGCCCCAAGTCCCGAGAGGAGGGGGATGGAGGGGGAGGGACTGTGGTGCGACCAGGGCCTGTAAGAGCTGCTTTCTCACTTAATCTCTGTCTGTCCCTCTCTGGCAAGCCACGCATCCTCTGTCAAATTAAAAACAATCAAAAGAGAAAGAAGGGATCTGCAGTCAGACAGGGGCCTTGATAGAATTCTGAGAGGCCAGTAATGCCTTATTTTTGAACTGGAGTGGAATTAGATGATATTCACTTTTTAACCATTTATTAAATTATAAACACATGTTAAACTATACACATATATATTGAATAAGTACTTAACTTTTAATAAATGTGGTATTTTATTGTTAAAAATATCACATCACAGGGCCAGCAGATGGTGTGGTGGTTAGCACACTGGCTTCCCCCCAGGCTAACTGTGGTTCAAGTCCCAGACCAGGGAGCTTGCTTTCTCACTTTCCCTCTCTCTGCCGAGCACACATGTCCTGTAGCAAAATTTAAGAATAATAATAACAAATAAAATTAAACCAATTACTTCTTTTTAAAAAATCAAATCACAGGACCATTTCCATTAGCTGTGCAAGTTTGCATTATCTTGAAAGCCAGATTATATTCTGAAAAAACTAAAACGTAGTCACAGAGAAAGCTGATTAGACTGCATCAGATGTAATGACTATGTCTTCATTAGAGTTCACAGCAAAGAAACAAGTCGTTTTTCAGCATCAAATCTTAGTGTTCATGCAGAGATGAGAAGCCCTCCTTTTGCACTCAGTGGGTTTCCCATTGTCCTCAGGCTTTGACGTCATTCTGCCAGCCCTTAGTAAGTCACATCAAATGGCTAACCAGTAACCAGTACCATCTGGATAAAATACTCTATTTTAATCCCAATAATAAAAAACAAAGCCCTCTTTTGAAGAATTATGAAGAGCTTGCAAGGCAGTATTGTTTGCGGATAAATACCCAGCCATAATCACTGTCGCTATCACAAATACAGAACTTCCTACAGACTACAACCTTCACACATTATCATTTAATACTTAATGGGCCTCCGAAACGGGAACTTTTGTCCCCATATTATGTGTACACTTTAATTATGATTTCTAGTGTATCTAAGATTGATGCATATCCCTGTGGGCTACAGAAGGCTTTTCTAGGCATGTGTACAGTGCACAACAGTCAAATAAAAAATAAGCCAAACCCGTCTTATCAGCACTGAACGTTAACTGTGCATATCTGTTAACAGCTCTACTAGCCTTTAAAATATTTATTAAATTAACCACATTTTCACTCTGCCGTGATAGACCATCCCGTAGCACTCGTTGACATGTGTTCTTGAGCCCACTGTAAATTTTCTAATGAACACTCCCCCCCACACACACACACACGTATACTCTCCCCAGGCCTCGCCAGCACCCACCACCACTGTCCCCGTTCCCATGCTCCCAAGTCCTCTAGTCTCCACCACACGGCATAGACATTCAGGACCAGCTAGGTGGGGACATACTTGTTCTTCATTTCTTATTATTTCACTTAGAATTAGGTCTAACCACTTTGTGCCAAATGTATTATCCTCACTGTATCTAAAATATGAAAATGTGAGTTACAAAGAGATGAAATCGTTTGCTAGTAGGGGTGGGGACCACAGCTCAAGGCCGCGAGCCCGGACGTGTTCTCCCAACCTCAGAACGATGCACCTGCCCGCTCCCAGGTGTTCCCAGCTGTGGTCGCCACTGGGGCTGCTCCCAGTGTACAGACATGTGATTCTGGAAAGCCCGAGGAGACCCTGACAATGCCAGAGGCTCCAGGATGTCCTAGAATCCGAAATAACGAAAACACGTAACACATTTTTAAACGAACAGTACGCTTCGTCTAGCCCCGCCAAGTGCCCCCACGTAATCACGGCTAAGGCAGAGCTGAGTTACAAACCAGCCAGCCCGCCTTAGATGACCTGCTGCTACCTGTCAGTCTTTACCACATTACTGAGTCCGATTAAAAATGAAACATTCTCAACTACTCGTTCCTGGAATCCAAACTGGGATAGAGGCAAATTTATTTTAACAAGGAAAAATTCAGGATTTGAAAAATGCAGATAATTAAATTAGAGATATCCCACAGTACTAGTTTCACTTATGGGATTATTTTTAAAAATCATTTAATGCTTGAATGGTCTCCTTCTTTATAAGTTCACATAAATTTTAAAACCCTCAGGTTCAATTTCCAACAGTCCTTAAAATAAACAGAAATCCATAAAAAGTGATCCAAAGTTAAATGGAAATATTGTTAGCAAAAGGGCATACTATGCATGGGCTCATCTTACATTTAATGAAAGACTAATATTATTTAAGACTTAGCTGTTATCTCTTCCTGATTAAATAGAATAAGAAATGCTGGCTAAGTGAATAAAGACAAAGAACTTAAAGAGGTGCTATTTAAAACCTCTGTCAGTCAAAGGATTCCTTCATGAATGTCTACCCGAATCAAATAATTGTCACCATTCCACTCCCAATAACAGAAGAAGGAGCATCCTCCCTTCTGATCGGCCAACTGTGGACCTCCTACTTCAGTTTCTGAAATTACCGCCAGGACAAATCACTAGGAAGTGGTTTTACCTTTCATTCTAAATTATTTTTCCAAACTACTTGTTTTGGGTAATTACCAGAGGCCTTATGTCCACACTAGAATGAGAAAGCACCCCCAACGGGGCCTGGTCACCCCACAGCCTGTCCTCCACACCTCCTTCCCGTCAGAGCCCTGGACACGCACACAGCATTGTTCAAATCCCTGGGCCAGGATTCGAACCAGGGTCAGCCATGTGGGATCCCACTTCCTTCACACAACATTTACCCTCTGTGCTACAGGGCTGGCCCATCAAACTACCTTTGATACTTTTAGTAAGAATACAAAACTTTATATAGGATTGCTTTATACTAAAAACTACAGTAAACATTAAAGATTCAGTGATGGTACCAGCACCAAAGACCACAGTGCAAATGTTCAGAGGTCTCTGCAAAGCTGTCACCTCTGCAGTGCGGTGGAGGTGAAGGTCTGTCCTCCCAAGCTCTCCCACTGCAGAAGCACACACACACATGCACGCCCGTACACGCCCACGCACGCGTGTACACACACACTATTTTTCTTAATAGCCTACGGTGTAATTATGTCTATGTGCCCTTCACCACAGTTCTCGGTCTATTTATATTTTAAGTCTGAATCACATTTGGGAGAAGCACTAGATCAATACTTTATTATATAAATGATGTAAGGTAACTTTAACATTGCTTCCTTTAAAATCTTTTTTTCAAAGAGTCATCCCCAGTCCTGATATCACCGGATTTCATAGAGAGATATGCAGTAACCATGTGTGTTACATGTTGACGGACATCAGTCCTCTCTCCCAGCTAGAGCCAGCAGGAAAACCTAAAATAAGATGACTCAACCAAAATGAGGATAATCTGACAGATTCGATGCCCAGAAAACACATCTCGAAAGGTTCTGTGAAAGGTTACCTCTTTGGGGCACTGATTTTTACAACAACTGAGAAGGTTCTTTTCATTTACATCAGCTGTGGTTATTTTCCTAAAAACAGGAGAGAAAGTTTTAATGACATTCAATCCAAACAAAGCCCACGTTGAAGCATTTTCTTTCTAAACATAATTCACAACTTTGAAAATACCCACAAAGTTATCTTATTTCATTTTCTGAGGAACATTTCAATTATTTCTCTGTGACGATTTTCTTCAAATCACATAACTATCCTGATACCTTGAACCATGCATCCCTTTAGCCACGCTCACCGTCACGTGTGCACACGGGCCATGGGTGTGCGAAGCGCAGGACACGCGGAGCACCCGCTGGGCCTGGCCTGTCTCCACACGTCCTCCCTCCAGCTTGCCCTACAGATCAGTCACCGTCATTGACGACCATGCTCGTCCCCGACGTAAACACCGAACACTGTGCTTAATCCGGGACTTCAAACCGAGGGATTCAGGCTTCTCGGTGGGTCATCTGATAAGCTTATTTTAAAAAGCTCAGTTATCTGTTTAAACATTAGAAATTCATTCACTTGAGATCAGCCTGTGCTTTTATATCTGACTCAGTGGGTAATCAGAAAAAAAGGCACAGAGCAGCAGGGAATAAACCCACTTTCTAACAGATAACTGGAAAGAAACCTAAAGATACCAGCCGAGTAACGGGCGATACCCGAAACTCCCTGCGTGCCCGCATCTCACTCCTCTCCTCTCCACGCCCTCCGTCCTCCTCTCCCTTCTCCTTTCTTGTCCCAGTCCTCCTCGCCAAGCCTAATGACCACAGCGGGGCGTGAGCTCGGCCTCCCTGACGTTAATAAAAACCATGGGGAGGGCTGAGCGTGTGCTGGAAAAGTTCACAGAAAGTGCGTATCATGAAACAACCGTGAATCAATTTCAAATGCTTTTTATGTGAAAATGAGCTCAAACTTGGGCGAGCAGATGGCACAGCGGTTAAGGTGCTGGGTCCCACATGGCTGACTCCACAGTTTGAGTCCTGGTTAGAAAGTGAGAAATCAGCCCCCAAGAAGTGATAGCCAGGCTGCAATCCCCTGCAGTTTGAAAAACACCCCAGGCACGTGTGCAGGGATGCCCAAAATCTCACACAGGAGAATGGAAGAGAAGGGATTTCACCATGGCCATCCCCCAGGGGGATGACTTCTCACTTTCCCTCTTCTTTTTCTTTCTCTGTCTCTTTCTGGCAAGAGCATTCTCCCTATGGCAAAAATCTAAATAAATTAATTAATTAACACACTCAAATTTTAACTTCATTTTATATGGATTTTTATCTTAAATTTTCACAGTAAATTGGCTATAAATGTACTCTAACATTTTTAGCTTTCTTGGCAGTTTTATTTATTACAGTAATAACACAAGTCTTTCTGTTAACTATTAATAATTGTTGCATATTTTTGATTCTTACTAGTACGGTATTTCCCTTCTCCATTTGATAGCTAATACCAGGGCCGACAGGTGGCACATGGGTTTCGCCGCTGGACGCCCACAGGCAAGCTGCAGTTTGTGGCCTGGATCAGGCAGCTTGAAACTCATGTCGGGCACATGTGCTTATGTGCCCAAGATCCCAAGAAGAGAAGCGAAGAGAAGGGACTGCAGTGTGGCCATCCCCCTGGGCAGTGATTTCTCCCTTTCTCTCTCTTCTGTCTCCCTGGTGAGCCCACACACCCTATAGCAAAAATCTCTCTCTCAAAAAAAGTTACTATCTTTTTGTTCTTTTTATTCTACTTAAGTTTTATTTATTTATATATATATATATACATATATATAAGAGAGCGCATGTGCTCACCGGAGAGACAGAAGAGACAGAAAGCGGGAAATCACTCCCTATGGGGGATGGCCCCACTGCAATTCCTTCTCCTCAGGACTCGAACCGCAGTCGACCCCATGGGAGTCCAGTGACGTAATCATTATGCTATCTGCTGGTTCCTATTCTACTCCATTTATTAATTAGAATTTATTCCTATTAACTAGGAATAACTTAGCTTTTCAAGGTCTGTATCTTTTTTTAAACAGGTTTTTGCCATAGAGTGTGTGTGTTCCCAGAGAGAGACAGAGAGAGAGAGGGAAACTGAGAAATCACTTCCCCGGGGGGATGGCCACAGCTATCCCTCTTCCTCCATTCTCCTTCTGGGATCTTGGGCATACACACATACATGTCTGTGTGATTTTCAAGTCACTGGGCCCAGGACTCAAACTGTAGTCGGCCACATGGGAGTCCAGTGATGGAACCACTACACCATCAGCTGGCCCCAAAGTCTGTATCTTTATATGCAATTCCTATAAGAGAAATCTACCCGGAAGCAGAAAAGAACTAAAAGGAAAAGATGAAAAATAAAACAATTCACTGAATGGAAAGAAAATGGAATTATTAGAGTAAATACTAAGATAAAAATTTTATATAAAAACATACATTTTAATATATATTTAAGAAAAGAAAAAAGGTTTTGGAATGCTGAGGTAATGGACATCGCCTCAATTCAAAAATACTACACGCCACCCAAAACCATAAAGCCGACAAATAAAGCCCCTCGAGTCCGACTCAGCAGAAGCAGAGACTTCTACACACCTGCCCTGGCAGAGCTATTTCTCCCAGGGCAAGCCCCCGAGAGAGCCGGGGGAGGCGTGGAGACACGGAGCAGGAAGCACAGAGGGGACTGCTGAGCCACGTGGCAGGGGCGAGTCCACCTCTGTGAGCAAATGCTGAGCGAGGCCTCGCAGGGCGCTAGCGGAAGGAAGCGGGCTTTTTAAAGGACGGCAGACGTAAGCAGTCTTGGGAAAGCAGCACTCTGGTAAGGGGGGAAAAGGCGCCCTTTGGAGACCCGGCAAAAGGAAGGAAATGGAGGATCTTGCAAAACCAAAGAAAACCAAAAGAAAGGAAGGACAGATAACCCACTTTCTCAAAGTCACCCTAAAAAGCTATTCTAAAAAACTGCACTTTGCTAAACTGACATAAAGGAGTGTTTATAAACTAAAAATCTTGTAAACAGTGCACAACCTGGGCTAGCTGGTGGCGTGATGGTTAAGGCAGATGGGTCTCACACGGCTGGCTGCGTGGTTCAAGTCCCAGACCTGGCACCTTGACAAGCCGTGACAAGCACGCCCGAGGTCCCGGGAGGAGTGGCAAAGGGTGTGCAGCGTGACCATCCCCCATAAGGTGCGCCCTCGCTTTTGCTCTCCCTGTCTCAGGCAAGCACACATGCCCTCTAGTAAAATAAAAATTTCAAAACTGAAAAACCACTCGTTCTGTCCACAAAAATAGATAATTAACACCTACAAAAAACTATGACAGGGAGTTAACATAAAATAATAACCAGAACATCTCAGCTTATGAAAATCCCCTTACTCTATCCTCAAAGGAAGGGGGAGAAAAGAAAACTGGAAGACAATCTCCCCGACTGAGCCGAGTCCCCTCAGGGAAGCAGTGAGGGTACCAAGTCCTACTCGCACCGGGGAGTCGGCCGGGCCGGCAGGTGGTGCGGGTACGGAGCTGCACCTCCCCGGCTGCCTGCTGCCTCTCTCTCACGCTCTCACTTTCTCTATCTCTCTCTCTCACGTGTCCTAGAGCAAAATTTAAAATAATAATAATAATTAAAACTAAATAATTCTTAAAAAAAAAAAAAAAACCAAGAGAGTGAACCTAGCAGGCCTGCCTGCTCTCTTCTGAAAGAGCTCCTGACAAGACCGGCCCTCTGCAGTACCTGGGAACGGGGGTCTGGGAAGGGCTCCCACCATTCCCGGTAGTAATGGCTCACCTGCCCAGACTGTGCAAACCAAATGGCTTATGCTGGACGGCTGCCTTCCTTCTGGGAGCCTGGGGCCTCGGCGTGTGCCAGGCAGAGACCGCCTGCATGACGTGCCTCCAGTCAAGCCTGCACGCCCAGTCTGCATGCACGTCTCTGACGGGCGGCACGTGACCAGTGCTGTCCCAGCCAGTGCTTGGGCGGCTGCGACCTCCGAGTGCCTCCGTGGGAAGCTGGAGCCCGCTTCTCCTTGACTTCACCCCACAGACCTGTTTCCTTTGCTGACTGTGCTCTGCATGCTGTAAACTCAGCTGTGACTGTGATTACATGCTAAATCTTGTGAGTCCTCCTAGCAAATTACCAGATGCTATAGTAGGGGACCTTCAATATACCACGAGGAATCAGAAAATTGAAACCTAAGAAAATAATTGGGGAAGAAAAATAGAAAAGAACCAGACAACCGTTGACTGAACTTATTTTACACAGAATCTCTAAATGGGAAAACAGAATTTCCTTGGTCAAATACAGGGAGGTAGATCTAGAAGGCAGAGTGCTCTGTATTGCTTCCTTCTAGGTCTTTCCTGGAAAAGTTCAAGCCTTTAGAGTCTAAGGGGAACAAGTGAAAACATCCCATAAAGTATACTATTAATATAAAGGACTCTGAATTATAAAAAGTGATCGATTCAAATAATCTTGGTAAAACAAGGCTCTCTCCGTCCACTTGCCTGCATTCCACGTAGAGACTCGTGATCTTGCAGTGACACTTGATTCTGAGCATCTGCACGCAAGGGGGGCATTCCCCAGGGTGACAGGGCAGGACACACGGGTGAGGACAGCCCAGCGGCCGTGGTTTGGAGCACCCTTCTTCACAGCGAAGGCATTCTGGGCCGGCCTGGAAAACAGCAAGGGGAGGAATCACGGAAGGGCAGATGTCTAACATTCCCACGTGGTAAAGTTAGGAACGCACCTCTCTAGTTAAAATAGAGCACCCGCACGGCTCTGAGAGACGCAGCTGATAAATGCAGTAAAGGGTGTAAAGCTCTCGTTCATCTGAAGAGTATACGAGATGAGGAAGAGCAAAGTCTCTAGCCTAAGCAACATCCGTGCAGATTTCTGTGCCTACAAACCTCAAAAATCGAACTGGCTCACGTGTAAGAGGAACTTGCTTGCAGGAAACACACAGCACACTTCCGAAGTACAGTCAGTAGCGGACAAAAGTGTGCAGAAAACACCATCGGTTCACTCCTACCGACACGCCCGGGCACTGTCCCGCTACAGACATCCACACACCGCTACACACAAGTAAGAACTCCAAGCACGCGCATCCTGGAGATACCTGCCCGGTCTCGGCACAGACACTCACTGCAGCTAGCGGGTGAAGAGGCGCTTAAGGCGCTGGACGCCCACACGGCCAACCGTGGTTCCAGCCCCAGGCCACTGGCTCGAAAATCATGGCGGGTACATGTGCGTGCCCAAAATCCCGAGAGGAGGACGGAGAAGGGACTGCAGTGTGGCCACCTCTCCAGGGAGGTGACTTCCTCTCCCTCTCACTGTCTCTCTCTGGCAAGTCCACGTGCCCTATAGCAAAAAACCTTAAAAAAAATGTTTTTGTTGTTGTTGTTTAAAAAGAGAGAAACACACATAGAATGAAAAAAGGACAATGACCAGTAGTTTATTTTTCAGTGTGCACCCCTGAGGTGAAGTTACACAGACAAATAAACATTTCAATGTAGCTTAAACAAGGTAGCTCTTTCCGCTCTGCTGAGTTAATAATGTACCTAGCGTCGGAATCTACCAAAGAAGGCCAGAGTTTTCACTGCAGGATATTGTTTTACATGTCATATCTGAGGCAAAAAAAGCCAGAGAGCTACAGACGTGGACATCAGATCTCAAAGGTGAGCAATTTTCACATCATTCCTAAGTACACTCAGGATTATAAGAATTATCAAAATTCTAAGCTATTTTTGGATATCTGGGATTGACAATGAAGTGTTTTAAATAATAAAAATATTCCTCTATAAATAATACTCATTTTCAAAATATTTTACAGTATATTCATTTTTCCCCAAATATGTATTCAGTATTTACATGCTAAGCCTTGTTCCAGACACTGGGGACAAATGAGACAGATCCTGGAACTCAGACATTTAAGCACAGAGGTGAAGAATGTCGGGACCAGCAGTTAGTGTAATGGCTATGTCGCTGGACTCCCACTTAGTCGACCGTGGTTTGAGTCCTGGACCTGGTGACTTAAACTCACGCCGGGTGCATGTGCATGCGTGCCTAAGATCCTGAGAGGAGAATGGAGGAGAAGGGATTGAGGCGTGGCCATCCCCCCTGGAGGTGATTTCTCACTTTCTGTCTCTCTGTCTCTGTCTTTCTGGTGAGTGCACGCGCCCTATAGCAAAAACCTCTCCAAAAAATAAAAAAGAATGTCGTGCTGTCTCCAGAAGTGTCTGGAGGAAGACACAAAGCAGGACGAGAGAGTGATGGCAGCAACAAAAAGCCACCTTCCGATAGAGGTCAGGCTTGAACAGAGACCCAGCTAATGAGAGCCCCAGGATGGAGAGTCCAGGGAGGAGCGTGAGAGGGCTGTGCGGCCGGAGCAGGTGTGGGAGTGAGGCACTGTGGGATGTGGAAGGGGCCGCACGGAGTGGTGTGCAGGTGAGACGTAGGAGAGGCTGGGTCCCGGCAGAGACACACAGGCCGTCATATGGCCTTGGAGTCCCAACCCGAGGGTGACAGAAAACTATGAAAGGGTGCTGAGCAGAAGACGATCTGATTTATGTTTTTTAAAACGAGTCTGGTGGGCCAGCAGGTGTCATGGCAGTTAAGGTGCTAGATCCCACATGTCCAACTCTGTGGCTCGAGTCCTGGCCCAAGTGACTTACAAAGCATGCAGGGTACATCGAAGTGCATGCCCCAAACCCTGACGGGAGAATGGAGGAGAAGGGTGCAGCATGGCCACTCCCCTCTAGAAGGTGATCTCTTACTTTCCCTCTCTCTCTGTCTCTGTCTCTTTCTTTCCAGTGAGTGCACATACACTGAAAAAGGATGAGTGAATCTGGCTGCCCAAGTAAAACAAGTGGGAGGAGAAAAGCTGATGAGAAAACACTGCAGAGATCTAGGGGACAGTGATGGTGGCTCAGGCGGGGATGCTGGTGGGAGGTGATGAGAAACGGTCAGACGCGGGGTCTGATTTGAAGACAACCCTAACCGGATCAGCTGAGACGAGAACCGAACATGAGAAAGAAACCGCGCGCAGTCCCTGTCCTGGACTCGCGCAACCGGGTAAAAACGTGGCAGCACTGAGACGGGAGACTCAGGAGGGAGACGCGGTGAACCGCAAACACACAGACAGCGGAGCTGGCACAGGTGGTCGAGGTCGCTTGCCCTGCCTGGCCCCGCGGTCCACCTGCAATAACCTACATGAAGGACGGGCAGAGCAGCACCTAGGCTGGGATCTAGGAGCCCGAGGACGGTACTTCTGAGGTCCTGTGTGCTCGCGGACAGGCCACATGGCGACATTCAGGCTCTGCAAGCCGAGAACTACAGTTGAGGACTGAGGCTCTTTCCAGCCATGGGGAATAAAGGAAAGAAAATTCACTGAACCTTTGTTTGCAAAATTCGTTTTCTGGATCACTTTCAGAGTCAAAGTCTATGTTCCAGGGAAGACTATCCTCATTAGAAAACAGCAAGTCTGGCTGCCAAGTACTTGATACAGCGCTCAGCTGCTTATGTAAGAAGTTTAACACAGGAAGCACTAGTGGGGTAGCCCACAATATCTCCCTTAGCAGTCGTATCAGCGTTCAAGGTGAGATTTTCCTGATTTGTCTGATCATCTAGAAATCCAGAGGAAGAAAGCCACGAGCAGCTGCACCCCAACTAAAGTGGGTTTTGACTAGTTACCACAATTTGTTAGTTTGAGTCTTAATTCCAATATCTCCTTCGTTTTACTTCGAGTGTTTTTATTGAGAATCAAGGCGTGAATGAAGAAACGACAGCGGCACAGTCATATAAACGTGCACACGTGAACAACATTGCTACTTTGGCTTTACTGTCGTGCATCTGTTTCCAAATCAGACGAAAACAAAACCAAAACTAACAACGCAAATGAAATTTCCAATAACGTAATTCATATCAATAATCTAAATATCTATGAATCTAGTATTAATCAATAAAGTAAAGCTTGGGACCAGCAGTTAGCATAATGGCTATGTCGCTGGACTCCCATGTAGTCGACTGCGGTTCGTGTCCCGGACCCGGTGGCTTAAACTCACGCCGGGCGCATGTGTGTGTGTGCTCAAGATCCCGAGAGGAGAATGGAGAAGGGATTGCGGCGTGGCCATCCCCCCTGGGGGGTGATTTCTCGCTTTCTATCTCTCTGTCTCTCTCTGTCTGTCTGGCAAGCGCACGTGCCTTATAGCAAAAACCTCTCAAAAAAAATAAAATAAAGCTTAATATTTCTGGCTTGGGGCCAGCAGGTGGCAAGATGCTTAAGGTGTTGGACTCCCATATTGACAGCTGCATGGTTTGAGTCCTGGACCTGGTGCTTGAAAATCATGCCAGACATGTGTGCATGCATGTCCAAAATCCCAAGAGGTGAATAAAGAAGGCATTGTGGAGTGGCCATGCCTCTTGGGGGAAATTTCTCGCTTCCCCCCCCTCTGTCTCTCTATTTCTGGTGAGCACACATGCCCTCTGGGGGGGATTTCTGTCTCACCATTAAGATACCTGCTGATATTATGACAAGTCCCCATAGACTATAAGTGCAGAAACAAACTTTTTTTTTTTTTTGAGAGATTTTCACTGTAGGGCGCATGCGCTCGCCAGACAGACAGAGAGAGACATAGAGACAGAAAGCGAGAAATCACCCCCCAGGGGGGATGGTCACGCCGCAATCCCTTCTCCTCCATTCTCCTCTCGGGATCTTGGGCACGCACACACACGCGCCCGGCGTGAGTTTTAAGCCACTGGGTCTGGGACACGAACCGCGGTCGACTACGTGGGAGTCCAGCGACATAGCCATTATGCTAACTGCTGGTTCCCCAGAAACAAACATTTTAAAAATAAAGTTTAATATTATTTAAAATTTGGCTAATTACATTTGTTTTTCCTTGTAAAATACAATTTTTACAGATCTCATCTCTGAATAGTTAGTTGGCTTTTCAAATGCTTGCTAAATACCTTTAGTGAACTTCACTACTCTTCAGTTCCTAGCAAAAGACTGGTGACTGATGTACTTACATGATAAACATCACCTACCAATGTGTCAGGTTTGAAACCAGCGAAACAGGGAAGAGCAAATGCTCTAGACTAACCTCAGATATGCAAATGGGGGGAGAGGAGGGGATATCGGCACCCTCTCTCTAGGAAGGACAGAACTGGTTTTTATTACAGAACTGCACCCTGCGTGTGAGCGTCACACCGCAGAGAACTTGGAGCCAAAGTCAGTGTCTCAAGAAGGGCAAGGAAGGAGGGATGAGGGCAAGAAAGAGGAAGATGCTAAAGGAAAATGGAGAACGTGTTTATTGTATAGTTACTGAAAAAAACCGTTCGAGCACCCCGTCAGCACACACGCACCCGACCAGAGGTTACCTTGTTCCTGCCCGCATCGCCGTCGGCCTCGGTTACCCTGTGGCACTCCTTCATGCACGTGTGGTTCTGGCAGCCCAAGGTGCGTCCGCAAGCCCTCCTGCAGGAGTAGGGCCGGGCGGCGTGGCACGGCAGCGGGCTCACCTTAGAGGAAAATAGAGTCAGCAGCGTGCACACAAACCTTTCAGATCTACGTTTCCAAAATAACTCTGCTATCATTTGAGAACACGTTTAACAATGGCTGAATGCGTTTTCATTAATAGCGATGATTTCTTTTTTGATTGGCAAAGGGTACACACGCTCATCAGAGAGGGAGAGCATGTGTGAGAAGCAGCGCCCTCTACTGGGGGGTCTGCAGCACGCTTGCCTTCCTGCTCCGGGTCTCACCTGTCCGGCTCTAGGCGGGCATATGCACCATCCTGTGTGTCTCCTGAGCCAGCAGGGCCGGACTCGAACGTGGTCATCCCTGCAGAGCACGGCTCCCAGTGCAGACAGCTCACTCAGGAGCTACAGGGCCAGCCCAATCATAGTAACTACCATCACAGCCAACGTAGCCTACCAAAAAGCTCTCCTGTCCTGGAGGGCAAGAAGCCAAAATCCTACTTCTAAATGGAAAGTCCTGTACAAGGGTTCTCCAATGAGCACATGGGCACAGACTCATTCTCAAATAAAGGCACTGTAGTTTCTAAATGAGCGGACAGACCCCTGCACCCTCGGTAGCACTGAGTGACGCTTTGACTCTGCTCTTCCAAGTCACTCCAGTATAGATTACAAACCTTGCTTTAAAAACGTGCCTACAACTCACCTCGTGCTTCCCAAGACATTCCCTGCAAGAAAAAAGTAAAATAAAGTGAAAATGATAAATTCTTCAACAAGGAGATGCTAATTCACTGTCGTGTTTTATTAAGAGTAAAACAATAAACACCCATGAGGATAATAAGTAATTCTAGTAAGGTCATGGCATACGAGTCAATGTGCGAAGGTCGATCACTTTCTCAGAGATCATCAGTGAACAACTGGAATTTGAAATTAAAAACACAACCTATCATTGTACACAAAAATTGAAACACTTACATAAAAATCTAACACAAGATAAATGCATAGGAGAAAAACTACCAAACGCTAAAGAAGGAAATCAAAGACCTGAACAAATGAGGCAGCAGGCCACGTTCACGGACAGAAAGGCTCAACGTATGAAGCGGCTGCTTCCCGATCTGCTCCAGCTTCAACACGATTCCAGTCAAAAGCCCAACACGATGGTACAGACACCAACTAACCGACTCGACAAGCCACACAGACGGACCAAACCCCCAGGAGCCGGCGCAGTACTGGAGAGCCACGTCCGAGAACTGCCACTTCCAGCGTCAAGACTCACTACGAGACCCGGGAGTGAAAGCAGGATGGTGCTGGTGCAGGCTGGGTAAGTAAGCAGCTGGGACAGACAGAAGGCCCACAAGTGGACCTACACGAAAGGTGGTCAGCTGACGCTCGGCAAAAGACAAAGGCAGCTGAGTGGAGAAAGGACAGTCTTCAACAAACAGTGCTTCCAGAACAAATGGACACCTACGTGCAAAATACCTAGACAGACCTTATACCTCTCACAACAGCAACTCGCAGTGGCCCACACACCTGGACACTGAGCACGACTCAGCGTGGTTGGTACGTGCACACTGTGTGACACCGCTGCTGTCTAGGGAGAAAAGTGGGCTTCGATGCTTTAGAAACACCCAAAGTATGATCCTTGAAAGAAAAATGTGTAAGCTGGACTTCATTCAAATTCTGCTCTGTTGGGACCAGCAGTTAGTGTAATGGCTATGTCACTGGACTCCCATGTAGTCGACCGCGGTTCGAGTCCCGGACCTGGTGGCTTGAACTCATGCCGGGTGCGTGTGCGTGCGTGCCCAAGATCCCAAGAGGAGAATGGAGGAGAAAGGATTGTGGTGTGGCAATCCACCCTGGGGAGTGATTTCTCACTTTCTATTTCTCTGTCTCGAGATGTCTTTCTGGCGAGCACATGCGCCCTATAGCAAAAACCTCTCAAAAAAAAAAAAAAAAAAAAATCTGCTCTGTGAAGAACATTTTAGAAAACAAAACAAAAAAAGTTGGAAAATAGACATCTGGTAAAGGATTTGTATCTAAAATAAACAAAGAATTCTAAAACGCAACAATAAGAAAGCAAATCCAACTTAAAAATGGGCAAAAGGTCTGAAGAGAGAAGACATCATGAAGAGATGCCTAAAATCATGCAGCATTAGCAAGTTACATATTAAACAATAAACGACACCTATTAAAATGGCTAAAATCCAAAATATTGATCCTACTATATGCTGAAGAGGATGCAGAGCAACAGAAATCTCATCCGTTGCCGAGAACACAAATGGCACAGCCTCTCTGGAGGACAGCTGGCGGCTCCTCACAGTTAGACGCAGACTTGCCATTTAAGCCAGCAGGTGCACTCCGGAGTACTTCGCAATGGGCTGAAAACTTAGTTCACGCAAAGCATGTCCACACGCAAATGTTAACGGCAGCTTTAGTCTTCACTGCCGGTCTTGGGAACCACCCAAATGTACTTCAGCAGGTGAACTGCAGCACCTCCGTCCAACAGCACCACATCGGTCATCAACGAAGTGAGCTATCAGACATGAACAGCCATGGAGGAAGGCTTAACGGCTTAAATGTAACTGCTAGGTGAAAGACCAGTCTGAAAAGGCTTATGCCATACGATTCCACTTACATGACATTCTAGCAAAGGGGAAACTGTGCAGAGAGTAAAAAGATCAGTGGTTTCTGGGTGCTGGGGATGGGGTGGGGCGAACGGGCCTTTCTGGGACAGCGAAGCCACTCCATGAAACTATCATGGTGGACACGTGACATCACACATGTGTCAAAGCCCACAGAACCACAAGACACAAAAAGCAAGCCCTGGCGTGTCCATAAACTTTAGTTATATATATCAGTACTGGTCAGTGAGTTGTAAAAAATGTACCATGCTAGGGGCCAGCAGGTGGCACGGTGGTTAAGGGCGCTGGACTCCCATATGGCCAACCCTGGTTCGAGTCCCAGACCTGGCGGCTTGCTTTCTCTCTCTTCCCCTTTCTCTCACTCTGTCTCTCTCTGGTCAAATTAAAATAAAATAAATAATAAGGTCGAATAAAATAATTCTAAAAAAAAATTTTAAAGTACCACGCTAAAGCAAGATGGCAATAGGGCAAATTGTGTGGGGACTCACGTGGAAACTTGACTCTGCACAATTTTCCCATAAACCTGAAAGTGTTCTAAAAAATTAAATCTGTTTAAAAGTTAAAAACACTTCATCTTCCCTTCCAGGGCCTAGTTTAGATATGGCACCATGGGGACTAGCACATGGCGTAATGGTTACGTCACTGGACTCCCACAGAGTCAACTATGGTTTGAGTCCCGGACCCAGCGGCTTGAAACTCACACTGGGCACCTGTGCGTGCGTGCTCAAGATCCCAAGAGAATATTGGAGGACAAGGGATTGTGGCATGGCCATGCCCCCGGGGAACAATTTCTCGCTTTCTGTCTCTGTGGCGAGCACACACACCCTATAGCAAAAATCTCTCTCTAAAAAAATAAAAAATAAATGGTCCTGTGAACCCTATGGCACCTGAAGGGACTTCTGCTATGGGGCTTTTGGGAAGATCCTTCAACTTTTAAAAAGAAGGAGATGGTGGTGACAGAACAGATGGTTTCTATTTCCTTTTGGAAACTTCCATGTCTGGATGGGAAGTGCTCAGAAAGGCAAACAGCACAAGGGCAAAGATGACACACCAAGAAAAACGCAGCACACAACTAGAACCTCACACGGGCCCTTGATGATGTATGACAGAACTAACCCATCAGCCAGCCACCGGGCTCACTCCCGGCTCGTGTGCGGGGCAGGAAGGTCCTCAGGCCACCGCCTATGTCACGTGGTGGTTGTCACTCCAAGCCAAAGGCACCCTTCATGATACCGAACCACGCATTCGGAGTACTTTCACGACACATCATTAAGAGTAATGCTATTTTTTAAAAGAAGACAAGGAACAAGAAGAAACATTCTACTCTGAAAAACACTCCCTAGAGAGTAGATGTAATAAATACTTTTCAGCACACACTTTCTTACAATGTTGCTACATACCACTGAAAACTCATGTAGTATTGGAGTCAGAAGAGTCTGTAATAAAACTTTTTAAAGTTGAGATAAAATTCACATATTACAGGGGCCAGCAGATGGCACAGTGTTAGGGCACTGGACTCCCATATGGCCAACTATGGTTCAAGTCCCAGACCCAGTGGCATGAAACTCATGCCAGACGCGTGTGCGTGTGTGCCAGAAACCCTGAGAAGAGAACGGAGAAGGGACTGTGCGTGGCCATCCCCACCCCCCAGGGAGTCATTTCACACTTTCTCTGACCCTCCAGCGAGCACATACTCCCTACAGCAAAAACAGCTCTTAGAAAAAAAATAATAAAACTGCATACCATAAAAGCCATACTTTTAAAAAGTTTAACCCAGTGGTTGTGAGTACAGTGACGAGACTGTGTGACCATCACTGCTCATTCTAGAATACTTTCCTAACTCCAAGGGGAAACAGTAACGGCTGACGTTGACCCCCACGGTGTCACGCCTCTGCTTCGGGAAAACACTAATCGGCTGTCTCTGTGGGTTCGCCTCTGCCGGACATTCCCTCTGAGGAGAGTCGACGTGTGGTCTCTGGCTTGACTTTTTAAAAAACTTTTAGAACGTATTATCATTATAATCTTCTTTAGATTACATTGAATCACATATAACTTTACTGGCTTGATTTCTTAGTGGTGTCCACGCATGCATTGGAATTCACGCGCCTCACGGCCGAGTGACCGTCCATTGCAGGCGGGTCTTGGTCTGCTATCCATCAGCTGACAGACACTTGAGTAATTCCGCCTTTTCAGTATTAATGGTAATGCTGCTATGAACAGTTACGTATGGATTTTTTGTAAACACATATTTTCGATTCTCTCGGGTATATACCGAAGATTGAAACTGCTGGGTCATGCAGTAACAATGCTTAGTTTCTGAAAGAACTACCAAACTTTCCAAAATAGCTGCCCCATTTTATGCTTCCAACAGCAACAGGCGAAGGTTCCAGGCTCTGCAAACCCCGCTGACACCTACCGCGCGTCCTCTCTAGCTCAGCCCTCGCCTGCATCTCCCTGGTAACCAAGCACACCGACGACTTTTCACGCGCTCTGCGGGTCCCCTTACACGGCTTCTCGACAGTGTCCTCTGGCATCATCCCGCCACACCTGACCTAACTGACGTTTTATGTTGTCGTTCGGGCTTTAGGGTCACATCTAGAAACCACTGCCCAATACGAGAGCACAAAATGCATGCCTATGTTTTCTTCTACCGGCTTAACAGTTTTACTTTATTTAGACATTTAGTTATTTACTTTAGAGGCTTCTTTTCTTTTCTTTTTTTTTTTTTTTAACCTTAGGGTACGTATGTATGTATGTATGTATTTATCTATTTGTAAAGGTTTTTGCCTTAGCGTATGTACACTTGCTGGGGAGAGACAGAGACAGTGAGAAGGAAAGTGAGAAATCGCCCCCCTTCCATTCCATTCTCCTTCGGGGATCTTGTGCAGTCACAGACACATGCCTGGTGTGAGTTTCAAGCCACTGGGTCCAGGACCTGAACCACAGTTGGCCATATGGGAGTCCAACGATATGACTACGGCGCCATTTGCGGGTCCCAGTTTAATAGTTTCAGCTCCTACACTTACGTCTTTGCTCTGTTTTACAATAATAGTTGTACATGGCAATAAGGTAGGAGGTCCACTTTCATTTTTGTGCATAGAGATGGCCAGCTATGCCGGCACAATTTGTAGGAAAAAAAATTATTTCCCCCACTGAATTTTACTGACACTCTTATCAAAAATTAATTTGGTTTGGAACCAGCAGTTGGTGTAATGGCTATGTCACTGGACTCCCATGTAGTCAACCATGGTTCAAGTCTCAGACCTGGTGGCTTAAACTCACGCCGGGCACGTGTGCATGCATGCCCAAGATCCAGAGAGGAAAATGAAGGAGGAGGATTGTGGCGTGGCCATGCCCCCTTGGGAATGATTTCTTACTTTCTGTCTCTCTGTCTCTGTCTTCCTGGCAAGCACACATGCCCTGTAGCAAAAACCTCTCAAAAAAAATCATTTGGTTATAGCCGTATGGACTATTCCCTTGATCTATGTCTGTCTGTGGTATGCCATTACCACACAGACTTTGGCGTTCTTTCATTTCTTCTAGCAATGTCTTAGAGTTTTCAGTATGTAAATCTTATTTGTTTTATTAAATTCATTAAGCAAAATATTTGTCCTTTTTACGTTATCACAAGTGGAACTGCTTCCTTAATTTCATTTCCAATTTTTCATCGTTACTTTCTAGAAATAGAGTTGACTTCTGTACACTGATCAAGTTTCCTGCAACCTTATTGAGTTCATTAAATAAGTTTCCTTGAGGACTCTTTCATATTTCCACATATACTGAAAATACAGTTTGCAGTGACAACTGAACAAAGGTTTTGTCTGAAAACATCTTCATTCCAAGTAAAAATCCATGCTGTGATTCCTTTACGAGCGTTCACCCCAGCTAGACCCTCTAGTACATGCGGGACGGAGGTGAGTAAGGACATCCTAGCCTTCTTGTCCCTGATCTTGGGAGAAAACGTGCACTTACCTTAAGTATGATGCTAACTGTGCGTTTGTCTCCATAGATGCCCTTTATTAAGTTGAGAAAGTTACTTTATTCCAACTTTGTTGAGTGTTTATCAAGAGAGTATGTCATATTTTGTCAAATGTTTTTCTGCATCTATCAATCAATTGCCCTTTACTATACTGCTATAGAATTACACTCACTGGTTGGGAACCAGCAGTTGGCGTAATGGCTATGTCGCTGGACTCCCACGTAGTCGACCACGGTTCGTGTCCCGGACGCGGTGGCTTAAAACTCACGCCGGGCGCGTGTGCGTGCGTGCCCAAGATCCCGAGAGGAGAATGGAGGAGAAGGGATTGCGGCATGAGCATCCCCCCTGGGGGGTGATTTCTCGCTTTCTGTCTCTATGTCTCTCTCTGTCTGTCTGGCGAGCGCACGCGCCCTACAGTGAAAATCTCTCCAAAAAAAAAGAAAAAAAGAATTACACTCACTGGTTTTTATATTTTGAACAAACCCTGGATTTCTGGGATAAATCTCACAGACAGAAAAGTCAGAAATCACCCCAGGGGGCACAGCCACGCCGCAGTCCCTCCTCCTTTCTCCTTTGGGATTTTGGGCGCGCATGCACATGCACCCAGCACGCTTTCCAGGTCGATGAGCTGGGACTCGAACCGAACCACGGTTAACCACTGTGCCACCTGCTGGCCCTGTACCTATACTCGTTAGGATATGCCCTGTAGTTTTTTTCTTGTGATATCTCTTTCTGGCTTTACCACCTGGAAATGCCAACCTTACTGAACAAGCCGGGAACCGTACCTCCTTAAATGAAGGCTGTTGTTAACTCTGTAAACGTCTGGGAGGACTGGCCAGAGACTCCAGTCTGTGCTTTCCTTGGAGGTAAGCCTTTCATTACTAAGTCAATCTCCTCACTAGGTATAGGCTGCTCAGACTGTCGACTTCTCCCTCAGTCAGTTTCCTCAGTTTGTTTTCTCGGTCAATTTTCTTAATTTACTCATCCCCCAATGAAGCTAGTAGCCAAGAGAGCTGGAAGACTGTACAAACACCAACCAAACAGGTTTTAAGAACTCTTAGTAGGTAAAAAGGATACTTTACAATGAGCACCTCTGAAAATTCTCTCCTTACGACTGCTATCTTTTATAGCTATCTGGAACCTAATTATCTTACAAACTGAGCAGTATTTGACTATCTGTGGTAGAAGGAAGCGGGAAGCCTAACAGTTTATTTGAGATCCTTAGTCTAAAACACAATCTGTTTTACTTATTGTTAAACATTTTAGAGACTTTTTGCTGTATGGCGTGTGTGCTTGCCAGAGAGACGAAGTGAGAAATCAGCCCCGGGAGGACGGCCATGCTGCTGTCCTTTCCTACATTCTCCTCTGGGGTTTGGGGCACGCACACGCACCCAGTGTGAGTTTCAAGCTGTCAGGTCTGGGGCTCGAACCATGGTTGGTCGTGTGGGAGTCCAGCACTTTAACACTGCGCCACATGCTGGCCCCACAGTCTGTTCTAATACCCGCATGCACACACGGAACTTCTGGAAGCACACTCCAGTCAAGTGCAAAGGAAGGACTACTCTGCACGTAACTTCATGTTTAAGTCGGTAAGCATGCCTTAGTAATGCCAAGTGGTTTTCCACTCTCAGAAAGTCTTTAATGCAACTTCACATTTGAGCAAATTCACTGAAGTCAATAAAATAAGTACATATGTTAAATCCTTACTATAAGACAGATGAAATGCTATGGTAATTAACTACTATACGAATGAAAATATTTCAGTGCCTATGAATCATAACACCAATGACTCTTCTTCTATTTCTCTTGAAGGACTTTGTGTCACTAATAACTGAAACTTATTATTTTTTTCAGAGAGATTTTTGTTGTAGGGCACACATGCTCGCCAGAGAGACAGAGAGACAGAAAGTGAGAAATCACCTCCCAGAGGAGATGGCCACACTGCAATCCCTTCTCCTCCGTTTTCCTCTCCGGATTTTGAGCACACACGCACACGCACCTGATATGAGTTTTAAGCTACTGGGTCTGAGACTTGAACCACAGTCGACTAGGTGGGAGTCCAGCGATATAATCATTATACCATCAGCTGGTCCCAACTGAAATCTTTTAAATGAGAGTTTAATAACTCGGTTCTTCAACATCATACTGTAAGTAAAACAAGTCTCAAATAGTTCCAATACCTACACAGAGACCTCTGCACTCACTGGACAGCAACCCCTCCACTGAATGTGCAGACTCGAGTCACCCTGTTCAGACACAGCCCCACCCTGTCTTCCAGCATGACTGCACCATCAGGTTATAAACACACACATGCTTTTAACTGGGAATAATCTTGTAGAAAGGAAAAACAGGGATGGGAGCTTTCAGAAGTAAAATAAATAAAACCAAAAAACAAGAACTCGTATTAAAAGACCGACATATAGGACGTACCACTGTTTGATTTGGAAGCTGAGACAGCAGCCCCTTTTCTGACATCCTCACAACTGGACGTTGCTTCCAGCACTCTCTTCCCGTCCCCCTGCGCTGCACAGCCCCTGCTCAAGTCTGAGCTGTGGGTTCTCCCCACCGCCTGGGTGCGACCCCCCAGCTACATGCCGGCCTCTCCTTGATCCGTTCGGGAAACTTCTACTCATGTGCAACGCCCCCGTCAGACGCTCTCCCTCCAGTATGCCTTATCTGAGCCCCTGGCTTTGCTCTGTCCTCACGGAGCCCAGCCTAGCCTGGGGAGAGTGAGGACAAACAGCAATGCTGTCCCTCGGGTGTGGTGTAGCGACAGCACATCACCCCAGAAGCTCAGAGGCATTAAACTCCAGCCGGGGGGGAGACGCCACGATAGCCAGGGGAGGGGACGCCACGGCAGACACAGGAGTTTGAGAGCACAGTGAGCATGTTTGGGGAAGAGTGAAAGTGAAGACAGAGAGAGCAGTTTACAGTCTAGACGTGAAATGATGATAAACTGAACCCAGAAAAGGGGAGGCTGAGTCAGATACACTTCAGGCTCCAGCCCAGGGTTTTCTTTATTTTTGGAGGGGTTTTTGCTATAGGGCGCATGCACTCGCCAGACAGACAGAGAGACATAGAGACAGAAAGTGAGAAATCACCCCCCAGGGGGGATGGCCACGCCGCAATCCCTTCTCTTCCGTTCTCCTCTCAGAATCCTGGACACGCACGCACACGCGCCCGGCGTCAGTTCTAAGCCACCGGGTCCGGGACACGAACCACAGTCTACTACATGGGAGTCCAGCGACACAGCCATTACGCTAACTGCTGGTCCCCGTCCAGGATTTCCTGAAAAGAGTAAATAAAACTCTGATACTTACATGGGAGTAGGAACTTGGCATGGGGGACAAGGTAACTCAGTCTGAATAAATGCTGGCTCAGAAGGCTGTTCCCAGGGGCCTGTCGGCTGGCACTACGAGTAAAAGAACATTTAAAAAAAAATTATTTATTTAATTTTATGTATTATTCAGTTTGACCAGAGACAGAAAGAAAGAGAAAGCAAGATGCCAGGTCTGGGACTTGAACCCTGGTTGGCCATGTGGAAGTCCAGTGCGCTAACAACCACTCCACCTGCCAGCCCCATAAAGCAACCATTTCAGTCTCCAAGGGATTACATCATATTGCCACTTTAAGAGTCTAAGATAGGACTGGCTATCGCCTAGGGTTAAGGAAGCCGGATCCCATGTGGCTGACTGGTTTGTGGCTTGAGAAACGCAGTGGGCACGTGAGCAGGCACGGAGATACCCTGACGGGATGGAGGAGACTGCAGTGCACGCCCGACCACGGGGCGCTCTTCCTTCCCCTCTGCTCCTGTGTCTCTGGTGAGCGCACAAGCCCTCTGGAGATGGGAAACAATAGAAAAACCTAAACATTCCGTACATCCCCACTGAAGCAGGCTGAAATGTCCCGAGTAAGCGACGAACTGTGCTGACCGCAATAGCTCTTCGTCTGGGCCGTGCCCAATTTCTCTCCTTTCATGAACACTTGATACCAAAACTAAGTCAGACCTCAATTTTTAAATGGTAAACGAAGGCAATAAAACCCCCTTCACCTCTGACAGGCCAAAAGAACAACAGGAATCCGAACTATAAGCTTCAGCTTCTACCACTGACATTACTTTGTTCACTGCTGTCTCCCGGCCTCTAGAAGGATGCTTACTACACGGTGAAGCACTCAACAAGTGAGTGAGTAAATCTTCGAAGGACCGAGAGGTGTTTGTAACGTAAGCCACAAAACATGAACAGAGAACTGCCAAATTCGCTTGTACTGTGACTGTAAAAGGCTATCACAAGATACGCGCAGACGTCTGTTTACTGGTTTCTTTCCTTTTCTACACCATCACCTTCTTTTTTGGGGGGGAGGGTGACTTTTTTCTGTGTGTGCTAGGGCAGGTGCACTCGCGGAGAGACAAAGATAGTGAGAGGGAAAGTGAGAAATCACCCCCACGGGAGATGGCCATGCTGCAATCCCTTCCCCTCCGTTCTCCTCCCAGGATCTTGGGCACACACACATGCCCAGAGTGAGTTTCACGCTGAGTCCAGGACTTGAACCACGGCCGGTCATGTGGAAGTCCAGACACATAGCTGCTATGGCATCTGCTGACCCCCATGAACTTTTTCAGTCAAAAGCCCAGCTGTAATGAACCCTGTACGCAGGCTCCACGCACAGTGCTCGGTACTTGCTGCTTGGTGAAAGATGAGAGCCGAGACCACTGGGAGTCACGGCAACACACTGCTAGTGGCACCGTCCTCTTACCCGGCCGGTCTGCTTCACCAACGCGCGATCGTGACATGGCGCAGGACACAGGTGACCACATTTCCCCAGGACTTTTTGGCAAGGCTGATGACACGGTGGACAAGAGCCGAAGTGACAGCGGTGTTTTTCTTGACTTGTGTGATGACAACTTGGTGGCCGACTAAATCATAAAGCACAGTTTTCATTCAGCACTTTCGGTCATTAATAATCACATCTCAGAGTGTGCAATTATCTATTCACATATCTCCGGATTCCACACAGAACGGACACATTACGGATATGAACATTTACAACACTAAAAACTCAATTAAAACGCTAACGGTACGAAGTCGGATGCATTAAGTCTGCGTGACCCCGGACGCTGGTCCATGCGAAGCCTCGCACTCACCTGCACGGCTCTCTGCACTTGGGCGGCCTCGTGGTGCGTTCGCGGCCACAGGGGACAGTCACCTTCGTGTGGCCGCAGTTACACTTCACATCCACCGTTTCTGGGCAGGGATAGCAACTGCCTGAAAGTACAGGCCAACACTTAAAGTTTCACAATTACCCAAATTTACCGACGGCAAAAGCAGTCAGCCTAGTACGTCCCCCGGAGGGGTAACTGCAGTGAGAGTGAAGACACACGGAGGTATAAACAACTCCACCCTCACGCTGAGTGAAAGCGGGCCCGTGCGGAGAGTGTGACCCCACATACACGGAGTCAACCAGAAAACGAATCTCGGCTGCTCTGAGTCAGGATGGCGGTTAGAAAGGACACGAAGGGAGTGTGGGGAAGGCCGGGATGTCAAGGTTAACGAGCTCAGCTCTCGTACGTGACCAAACTGGGTTTGTGAGGTCGTGAAGCTGTGTTCGCAGGGTGGTACACTTCTCTAGATGTCAATGTAGGACAATGGAGTCTTACACGTTTCTTTAAAATGTGCTAAAAGTGGAACCAGCAGTTGGCGTCCATCGCTGCACTCCCATGGAGCCGACTGCGGTTTGAGTCCCGGACCCGGTGGCTTAAACTCATGCTGGGTGTCTGTGCGTGCGTGCCCAAGATCTCAAGAGGAGGATGGAGGAGAAGGGAATACGGCGTGACCATCCCCCTGGGGGTGATTTCTCGCTTTCTGTCTCTCTGTCTGGCGAGCGCACACACCCTATAGCAAAAACCTCTCAAAAAAAAAAAAAAGTTTTGCTAAAAGTTCTATTCTAAATAACAAATTTAACCTGAGTTACTCATTCAAACCTACAATGGCCAAAAAAGAATCTGAGTCTCTGGACAACCTAATCTTAACAGTAATTTTTTGGTCTATTTAAATACACACCTCTATCCAAGTACGCTATTTCAAGTAAATTCCCAGGAAGCACAGCTTCTCTCTCACGACCTGATACTTGCTCCTTATCAATCATTGCCCATTTTCCGTGACCTGTGCTCTGTAAAAGGTTGAACTCTAAACCCTCATTTTAGACTATAATTCCAAATCTTTCTCTTCTAACTGTATCAGAGAGACACATTATTTAGGTTTCAGTTTTTACCCCCTTCTGTTGTGAGTTGATAGAAATACACAGAAACAAAATAAAAGAAAGCTGTAAGCAGACTATAGAATTCTCCACGGCAAGTTCTAACATAATAATCTTAAGGGCATTATTTCCACTTTCGTTTTCTGACTAAGGAGCTCCTCTGGAAATGGAGCAAGAAGAAGTCTTCAACAAAGGAGTGAACATCTAGAGACTCTGTCAGGACAAGCAAAACACTGACATCAGATAATCTCACAAACAAACTGACTAAGGAAACCAGCTTCGTTTAAGGTCTCTAGGAATTCTACACAGTTACCTAAAAAAATGACAAATTAAGAATTTTGATTCAAATAAAGAACATAGAAGAAGATAAAATGAAAGTAAAGGCATTGGGGGAAACGAAACATTTTACAAATAGCTGAAGCTGTACTCCAGTGTTTGGAGAAGGGCTACCCAGCGAAGTACCACCTCGACAGTAACAGCCAGGTTACCCTGACCCGCGTGATCAAGCTGTACCCCGACCTTTCCAGCAGTGACCGGCCAGTACATCTGTCGAGGTAGCAGTGACGCTGAAATCTGCTCTCCGCATTTAGCATCAGCATCTGCTCCGCTATCTAACATGATTTCTCATTCACCTTCAGCAATTCGGAGGGACTTATCGAACAGCCTCCGCTACTGTACACTACGGTATCTTCCGTTGTTTTTCCATTGCCACAGGGTACGTGCACTTGCCAGAGAGAGACAGAACAAGAGAGACCCCCCCTCCCCCATGGAGTGCGGTCACGTCACAATCTCTTCTCCGTCATCTTTCCGTCCTGTTGGGATTTGGGGCACACATGCACATATGCCTGGCATGAATATAAAAGGAAATCAAATCCTAGTGATGGTAAGAACATACCTGAAAAACTAGTTCTGAACCTCACAGCCTAAAGACGCTAACAAAGTAGAGAACATCACAGGAAAACACTGCTGAGCAATTATGGTCTGACACCTCTGCAGAGCGGCGAGGATGTGACACAATGAAACTGCCCTAAACTCTGGGCTCATATCCTGATCCTGCAGCCACGCGTTACCTGGGGTCTACGACCTTGGGCTAACAGCTCTTGGCCTGCTTCCTCATGAAATAACAGACATTCCACTTATCTCACACAACTTCTGAAAAGACTGAGAGCGCAGTCTCGCATCCACCAAGCCCCCAGGAAGACGATGAAAGTGCAGTAGTTTGTCCCAGGTGTTCAGCAATTGAGTAGCAAAGTGCACACTGACCCCGGAACCTGCTGCTCTCAGTCAAGATCTTCCCAGTGCTCTGTACCTGAGCTCACAGACAACACTCGGTATTCAACTTCTAGTAATGAGTTAGGACACCACTGGGGAACCGAGGGAGTCTAGGGAGCCTGGAGACCCTTTCGGGAGATATGCAGATAGAATTTTCTAGAAGCTAATGACAAGGACTAGCACAACAGATTAAATGCAGAAGCAGATACGTGAATCCTACTCTCATCTATAAAGCTAAACACGGACAACATTTGTAAGAACGTGAAATAATACCATTCTCACTAATGTTTCTTGAGAAAATAGTAGGCCACGGAACTCTGGTTAGCGTCAGTCTCTCTGTCCATCAAATAAGGATATTGGTCAATGCCCGGTCTTCTTTCCAAGCTTGGGAGGGGGGCTGAGTAAGGTAATGAGGGAAAATTCCGTGCCAGCTACAGAGCATAATTAAACACAAATATAAACGACAGCTTCTGTTAGATCTTACCTCTGTGGCAGATGGATGGACACTTATGGTTTCTACACCCCAAAGTCCGTCCACAGTTTTGATCACAAGGTGGGCAGTTTCCAGGGCAACACTAAAGGGAAAATAATACATAAAGAACAGGTCATTCAAAAACCCACGCGAATCTGAATGCCACTACTACTAATCCCAGAATTTGAGGAAAGTCAAAAAAGATCTTATCTCACTGTAAGGATGAAACGGTCAAGAGCATCAGCACCTTTCTCGTACGGAGATACACGGTAACAAGAACTTACAAGTCTAAACTGATCCAATTCAAGAAAATCAAGCCAAGTTTTCTTGCTCCTCTGTTCATGATTCTATGACGTAAAACGTTTTCTTAAGATACCATCACTGACTTATCTGTGCAGAGATTGATGACATTAAGCACTATCGTCAATTCAGACTAGTGCGGCTATTTTTAAAATGTAATTAAAATAAAATCGATTCAATGTGTAGATTAATTGGAAGTTATTGTAATCTATGGGATCCGAGATTAAGCAAAAAAGAGAGGCGGAGGTAGCCTACTGTGTGTGGGAAGCACAGGAGTCCGACCTGTCCTCATTTTCGTTCATGAAGACCAGGCAGCCATGGGCTATGTCACCATCCTAACCCCTCCCTTGACTTCTCATGCACCAACTTGGGGAAGGAGACACAGACTACAACTGTCTTTAAGAACCCTAGGGCTGTAACTCACATAAAAACGAGTTTCCGTACATAAACATAGCTCAGGATGAAATATTCACCATTGCAAAGCAAAGAAGTCAGACAGACATTCACCGAACACCAGGGGCCCTCCGCCGCCAGTGCAGGCAGGGGAAGGTTTGCGGCCTCTGACTCGAATAAGCCCTGGACATGCCTGCTTCTGACCACGATGGAGTCCTGCCTCACACAACTTAAATACCAGACCCCAGGAATGAGGGGCGGATTTCAGACATCCGCTGTCAGGCAGCACAAGACTGCAAGCCTAAGAGAAGGAAACACGCCGGGCGAGCCTGCGGCGACGGTGGCTTGGACTTGGCAGGCTCGGGTAGCCGCACAGGAAGGAGGTCGCTATTGGGCTTGGAGGCCTCTCCAGGTCACAGTCCAGAGAGAGCTGAGGGGAACACCCAAACCTGAGACAGAGCCAGGGCGGGAGAAGGCCAAGCACCCTCCAGAGGTCAGACGCAGATGGGAACTGAGCTGTGTTCCCGACAGCCAGAGAGGGAGGGCCTCCTGAGACACGGACATCAGCCGAGCGCCCAGAGACGCCGCTGCCTCGGCGGTGGGGCCCGGCTGGCCCCAGACTGAATGGGCTCAGGTCGCAGCTAACAGAAGCGACCCGCTAAAGGACAGACAGCCCCTGAGTGACTTAACTTCATTCCAGAACAGAGCTTAAAAATATCTAAAGGGATACCAAATCATTAACTAATTAAAATAAAATAAAATGTTAAGACAATCCGGTACCCAAACATCAAGTCAAATCATATCTAAATGCTGCCTATAAGAAATGTACTTTAGGGACCAGCAGTTAGTGTAATGGCTATGTCACTGGACTCCCACGTAGTCGACCGTGGTTCGAGTACCGGACCCGGTGGCTTAAACTCACGCCGGGCGCGTGTGCGTACGTGCCCAAGATCCCGAGAGGAGAATGGAGAAGGGATTGCGGCGTGACCATCCCCTCTGGGGGGGGTGATTTCTCACTTTCTGTCTCTCTGTCTGTCTCTGTCTGTCTGGCGAGCGCACGCGCCCTATAGCAAAAACCTCTCAAAAAAAAAGAAATGTACTTTAAATATAAGATATCGTAAGTTAAAAAAAATAAAAGAATAAACAAAGATATACCATGTTAAAAGTAAGGAAATGAAAGCTGAAATAGCTGCATTTCAAAGATTGAAGGAAAATAAATCTTGTCAGAGATAAAGAGGAATTTATTTCATGACGACAAAAGGGACCTGAAAGAACCATTAAAGACACTCAACGAAACCACTGCTCGGCCGACCTGCAGAGCTGAGTGTCAGTAAGACCGGAACTACGGACACCGCCAAAGCACTGCCACTCCTATGGACAGACCCACTGACACTGTAAAATCCACCACGCTGAGCAGATAATGCACAGGGCAAGGAGAAACTCTTGCTGTCTGAAAAAGTGTGTATGCTTTCCCACCAACGTCCAGGCTCATCTAGAATGTGTATTAGTAATGTACATGGGAAGCAAAGAACATGCCTGAGCAATTGAGAGACCAGTCAAGACAGCACTGATCCTGGGCCCAGAATGAGGAGACCAGAGAGAGCCGGCGGCCCACCTGCCGGCCCTGGCCCGCCCCTGGTGCTTCTGGCAGTCGCGCATCTGCACGCACTTGGTCTCGCACAGGTACGGCTTATGGCACGGCATCCGCTTTGTGTGCTTCCCACAGCGACACTGCTTTTCCACTTCCTGGGAGAATCACAGAAACACTAGTAAAACTGACTTGTTGGTATGTTTTTTCCACAGTGCAATTTCTATAATTACTAAACCATGAGAGACAAAAAGTTTAACGCCAGACTTACATGAAAGACTTAACCAAAACCAACTCTGAATTTCCAAAACCACGTATTTATGTCCTTAGTTTCAGAAGGACTTCGTCGTATGAATTCATTGTTAAATTTGGTAGAATTGTGATAATAGTAAAAAAACGAAACTATCCTCCCAACAAACAAAAAAGAAACCCGACATTTCAAAAGCACTTACGTGCACAGCTATAGCCATGACATCTGTGCCTCTTGTCCCAATAAAGCAAAGCAGTCCGCTAACTCGCCGGCCGTGTGGCCGACACCGAAACGACACCCGTGACCCCACGGTCGACACCCGTGACCCCACGGTGGCCAGTCCCAGCACCCGCTGCTGTCCCTCATCACCGGCCTCCTTCACTGCTGTCTGAATGTCCTCTGGGCACAAACCGCACCCCGGACCGCGAGCACTTTCACCACAAAAGCACACGAAAGGGGACTCTTGGATCTGACAGCTGGCACGCTGCGCGGCTCTTGACCTGAGTGTTAGGTCACCGAACTTACGCAGATGGCGACACGGGTGAACACGGAAGTGCGTGATGTGGAGCCGGCAGGACGACCTCGCGTCATACACTGCGACAGACCGCTCTCGGAAGTCACGACTAGAGGACATGACTAACCTGTCTGCATGTTTCACAAGGGCCTCGGTGACAGCGCTGTGAACATCTATGGATTCCACATTCGAGCACTTTGTCACAGCTGTCTCCACAGGTCGGTACATCTTCCGTACACGGCAAAGAAAACTCTAGACGCAGACAAAAAGCCAACATTCATGCCTCAGTAACAAGCATTAGCAAAGCGGTTTGTTCTTTTGGCTCCCTAAAGAATGATAGCCCTTTCAGACTGAATTTTCACATCCATAATAATTATAAAAAAAAGAAATGTTAATGGAAATAACCTCTAATATTTGCAAAATGTATGCTTTTTTTCTTTAAACTTTGCTATAGGGCACATGTACTCATCAGATTGAGGGAGAGTGGGAGGAAGAGCCAGAGAGAGAGTGAGAAACACCCCGGGGGGATGGCCATGCTGCAATCCCTTCTCCATTCTCCTCTCAGGATTCTGGGCACGTATGCACTTGCGCCAGGCATGTTTTTCAAGCCACTAGGTCCAGTACTTGAACCACTTAGTTGCCCATGTAGGAAACAGTGCTATAAAGTCTATGCCACCTGCCGGCTTGAACTTTATGCTTTTTAAGAAATAACCTGGGACCAGCAGTTAGCGTAATGGCTATGTCGCTGGACTCCCGCGTAGTCGACCGCAGTTCGTGTCCCGGACCCGGTGCCTTAAACTCACGCCAGGCGCGTGTGCGTGCGTGCCCAAGATCCCGAGAGGAGAATAGAGGAGAAGGGATTGTGGTGTGACCATCCCCCCTGGGGGGTGATTTCTCGCTTTCTGTCTCTCTGTCCCTTTCTGTCTGTCTGGCGAGCGCACGCGCCCTATAGCAAAAACCTCCTAAAAAGAAAGAAAGAAATAACCTGACACGTGACAAGTTACCATCTTCAGAAAACAGTTAGGGACAAACTACTTTAGAAACAGTTTTCTAAAGAAACGTGTAAGCCTATATAAGACCCTATGAGGAATTTCCATAATAAAGAAAAAAAATTTTTGAGAGATTTTTACTATAGGGCATATACTCTCACCAGAGAGAGAGACAGAAAGCAAGAAATCACCCTCCAGGGGGGATGGCCACACCACAATCCCTTCTCCTCCATTCTTCTTCTGGGATCTTGGGCACACACACATGTCCAGCTTGAGTTTTAAGCCCTTGGGTCTGGGACTTGAACCACGGTCAGCTACATAGGAGTGCAGTGACGTAACCATTACGCCATCTGCTGGTCCTCAGAATTACTTCTTAAAAGTTTGTTCCAGAGAGCACATGTGTCCTAGTAGTTATGGGGGCCAGATCCCATAGGGCTGATGGTGGGGTTCAGGTTGCAGCCTTGGTGGCTTAAAAAACATGCAGGGCACGTGTGCACGCATACTCGCACCCTGACAGAGGGGAGAGTGGGTGAAAAAAACTGCAGTGCGGCTGCCCCCTGGGGGTGAATCTTCCCCCTTTCTATTTCTGTCTCTGGTGAGTCTTCTCTGGCAACAATTTAAAAAGTTTGATCTTAACAATCTACAGGGGGAAAAAAAGCTGTAGACTTTAAGCTGTTGTAAAACTCGCCTTTAACATACACTTATTATGACAAGTATCGGAAATAACCAGAGTGCTGCTATTTGTGGAGGGTCAAGGACGCCGACTCGAACCGCAACCCTACCATGCCTTTGTCTCAGGCAGCCAGAAGTATGTTTGCCCGTGACCTAGCACACAGCAGCAGCACGGCCTCTGCTGTCAGAATCCCGGCCAGCGTGGCCCCTCCGTGACACTGAGGCACCCAGGCCGACGCTGCGCCATCAGCCAGAGGCCCACTTCCATGTGGGTGGACTCGGTGTGGTATGCTTGACTGGTCTGGACAAACAGAACAACGCGTATCCACCAGTCCAGCACCACACGGGGTCACTGCGCGGCCTCGACCCCTCTGTGCTTCCTCCACCATCTCCCCTTCTCCCCAGGCCTGACAGCACCGGTCTTCCCGTTAGCTCCACAGTTCTGACTCTTCCAGAATGTCCTGTTTGGACTCCTACAAATGCAGCTTTGTCAGATTGGCGTCTTTCGTTCAGTAAGATGCCCTTAAGTTTTCCTCATGCCTTTCCGTGGCCTGACACATCGTGTTCTTAGAAAAAGTCTTACTTGATTTCTGACAGGGACAGGACCGTCTCCCAGAGCGAGGACAGCCACCGCAATCGCCCACGTGGCACACTTGCTCGCACGTGTGGTGGCCACACGGCAGTGTCTTCCCGCACACCTGGACAGAATGCAACAAGCACCAGTGAGGGTTCCGAAGCTGACCGGAGGAAGACTGGAGCACATGACCACCTCTGGGTCACGGACACCTCCTTTATGCCCCTCGTGTGATTACATTTCAATCTCTCGAAGGGGCTGCACACACACACGCGTGTGCATACGTCCACACCTGTGTTTCACACATACATAGCTTCCCATACATGAAAGGGCATATTTTCTAAATATCAAAAGGACGAAAGTACATACAGCTCATACTCTCATTCACCAAAGACTTCCAAATAGTACGGAAGGGCCAGTTCTAGGACAAGCAGCCACAAAGCCAACCCCACTTTCTCAGCTGCAGTAACTCAGGAAAGGGACTGGAGACAAACAGGAAGGAGCTGGCAGGGGAAAGTACAAACGCTGAATCCAAAATTCAACAGTTATCACTTTAAAATAAAAACTCCAGTAATAAAAATGAGACTAGATTCCTACGTGGCTTCCTAGAAATGGGTCGCCAAATCGTGAAGGCAGCTCTCCTCCTCTCACCCCGGAAGGCCAGTTCATGCTTCCGCGTCCCAGCCACCTGCCCTGCGCCCTCCAACCCCGCCGCTGCGTGCTTCACTTACGTGGCCGCAGTGCCACAGCGGACTGGCACAGTTCCTTTCTGCCACGTTCCTGCCACAGACGCACTTCTGTCTACTAACTCTCGGGCACGGCCGACAACTTCCTGAAACCAAAGTAACGAATCAGCCCAGGAACACCATGAACCCTGAGCCTTCGCTGACCGTCTGAGCGCCTGCAGGGAGGGCCTCTCACCTGCGTGACAAGGGTCTTCGCACTTGTGCTGTCCACACAGTAGCTTCCGCCCGCACGGCAGCTGGCAGGACCACTCCTTGGTGCTGCACCGACGCGGGACGGGCTTCGCCTTCCCACAGTAACAAGTCGTGGTGACCATCTTTGGGCAAGGAGGGCAGGGGCCTAGAGTCCAACGAAGGGGAAAAAAATATCACAAGTCGGAAATAACAAGTGTCGAATCCTACACTCATCAGTAACTTCTAAAATTTCTTTACTGAGCCTTTAAAAGACAGAAACTTTCCATATTTTCTTATGCAAACTGAAGTACTGAATTCAACTCTCGCGATTTTTTTGTTTGTTTGTTTGCCTCAATGTACAAAGGACCCACAATGTGCAAACGATTGGAAATGCAGCCCTGACTTACCTGGGTGACAGAGGAGCAGGCACTTGTGGCCACAGGGGGGGTTACACTCCCTCTCACACACCTGGCCACACGAGTGAGGCACGAGCCAGGGGTCGAAGGGCGGGTTCTCCACCTTCCCACAATAGCAGTAGTACCGACTAGGCGTCTCTGACCGCTTGTACTCAAACCGACATTTTGGGCTACAAAGAAGAACACAGACGTGAACGTCCATCCTGTCTTCTGAGAAGCAACGCTTGGTAACAGCACGCTCCGCGCGATCCGGTCTACATTAAGAAACTGGACTCCATCTTCACACCCGTGGAAAAAGACCTCGCCGACGCTGATGTCGACCGTCTAGAACACTGCGCGCTGCCTTCCCAACACGCTGGGACTGTCTCGTAACCGCGCAGTCCAGCACAGCAGTACACGGGCGCACCCAGCGGGCAGACACTTACAGCGACCAACACAACCGAGGGAGAAACGGACTGGGCCTGTATGCATGCCAGAGAGAGAGAGAGAGAAACTGCCCCCCGGGGGGTGGCCACGCTGCAGCCCCCTCCCCTCCGCTCTCCCCTGGGGATCTGGGGTACACAGCACCCGGTTTATTTTTCAAGCTGCTGGATCCGAGACTGGAGCTATGCGGTCAGCCAGGTGGGGTCCGGCCAGCCTAACCACCATGCCACCTGCTGGCTCAGAGCTCAGTTTTTATTATATGATTTTTTAAAAATGTACAGAGCCACACATGGCTAGCTCCCGCTGTATTAAACAGCACATACCTAGAACACAGCTACAAAAGTGACGTTAGCTCTCTACTAATGCCTGAACTTCATTCGTGAGGTATTCTTCAATCTCAGTGCTTTGAGAAGTTCGGTGAGGGGTTCGCAAATCAATGAAGCATATTCACGACAGCAGACAGGAGGGGGATGCCCCGCTATGGGCAGCCAGCATGGCAGCAAGGGCCTGACAAGTCTAGAACTGGGGCCTAGGAAACGGTTCGATTCTCAGTACGTAATACGAAACAGGAGCCTGGGGCAAAGGCACGTTCAAACACAGCCTCGAACTCCGCTAACGCACAGGGGCCCGAACCTGGTCTGAGAGGCATGGACCTTCCGCAGTGAGGGAGCGTCACCTGGACGTCACGTGCTCCAGCCCTCCCTGTCCCCAGGCAGGGGGGTGCAGCGCGTACGCTCCGCCGCGATGGTGCTGCAGCGTCACCCACTGCCCTTGGTCTCCTACTCGGTGTATCTCCGCTGCCCTGAGAGCAAGCTCTGCTTCTGAACAGATACCACGCAAGTACTCAGAAATAACCGGAAGACAGCTACCTTGTAGTTAGAAAGTCAGAAACAAAAGGCTGTGTAGTTTATCAGGAATAAATAATTAGCACTTTGCTAGAAAAATTAAATTTTCCTTTACTCAAAGAAAAATGTCTACTCCTCCTTTTAGCCAGTGTGACGGAGAATGAGCAATTTTTTTTTTAAGAATTTTTATTTCATTTTATTTATTAGTATTTCTTGATTTTACCAGCAAGAAACAGAGAAAAAGTGAGAAAGCAAGCCACCAGGTCTAGGACTCAAACTGTGGTTGACCACATGGGAGTCCAGCGCCTTAACCACCATGTCACCTGCCAGCCCCCAGAGAACGAGTAATTTTAATAAGCCTCGATACGGATGGCCAACAAGCAACTCGTCACGCTTCACACTCCCCACTAGCAGGAGACGAACTGTCCAATGAGGGCAATGAGGGCAAAGCATGGTTTAATGTAAGTAATGTAACGCCAACGGTAAAGTGTAACTATGCTGTACCTTCATACGTGAGCGCTATCTTAGGGAACATGTATTTTACGCTTTTTATTTCCAGAATACAGCTAATTCAAAATCACTAGCAATTTTACCAAGTTCCACGTCCACTTTAACAAGGACTGAACACAATGACTTCTCGGCCACAAGAGCCATGGATCTTCTTTCTTAGAAAGTGTGAATACAGAATGCAAAGGACACTGCAGTCATTATTACATTTTTGTTCCTTCTGGATTTCACGGAAGGGTAGTCCGTTATTCTCATTAGTGGTGTTTTCCTCCCCTACGGCAAAATGACCACTTAAAATAGAAGTGAGAAAACCAAGGGAGTGCGAGGTTTAAATCCTTAAAAGTAACAAGTCAGAATAACTGGTTGAATACTGTTCCCATTAAATCCTAAACTCCCTGCACCACAAATAAATTATACATAGTTGCAACATAGATACAGACCCTGACATTGAAACTATTTCAGAGTACATTCCCTGAGAAGTCCGCAGGAAGAACAGAAAGAGCACTGGATTTAGATGTCAGAAATCCCGGCGTCCAATTCTGGCTCCACTAACTTAGGAATGTGAAGAGCCAAGCCCGGCAGGTGGTACAGTGGTTAGCGCCTGGACTCCCCGACTGCGGCTCGAGATCCAGAACCGGCAGCTTGAAACTCACACCGGGCAAGTGCCCACGTGTGCCCAAAATCCCAAAAGGAGAGTGGAGGAGAAGCAACTGCAGTAGGGCCATCCCCCCTGGGGTGGGACTTCTCTCTGTCTGTCTCTGTCTCTCTGGCAAGTGTGTGTGACCTATTGCAAAAATCTCTCAGAAAGAGAAGCGCCTGAACACATTGTTACCCCCAGTTAACTTCAACATCCTCACTGGCAGGAAGAGGATAAAACCCCTCGCAGATTGCTGAGAAGTAAGTAATGAGCATGTCTGAAAAGTTGGGACTCTCCGTCTACGATTTTACTCGAGTATTGATACTTGCGGTACTCAGGGGAGGTCTGACCTGGCTCCAGGTTTAGATGGCAGTCTGGTACAAAGTGACCCTAACGTATTCTAGGAAGAACTCCAAGAGAGAAGTAGCATGGCTAAGAATGACTCTCAGGTGTACAGAAAAGAAAGTCCTTCAGAAAGGATAACTAAGGAGTTATTTTGAAGGAGTAAAAAACGAAGTCCAAATGACTTATAAGTTATTGAAAGGAACTAGTAGTCATACAAATTGATTTTTTAAAAAGCCATTAACAGGGACCAGCAGTTGGTATAATGGCTATGTCACTGGACTCCCATGTACTTGAACGCGGTTCTAATCTTGGACCCGGTGGCTTAAAACTCATGCCGGGTGCATGTGTGCCCAAGATCACAAGAGGAGAATGGAAGATAAGGGATCGCGGTATGGCCATTCCCCCGGTGGGTGATTTCTCGCTTTTTTTTCTCTCTGTCTGTCTCTGTCTGGTGAGTACACGTGCCCTATAGCAAAAACCTCTCCCCGCAAAAAACGAAAAAAAAAAGCTGTTAATAAGGCCCCACATGTTTGAAAACCAAGTGACTAAGTGACCACCATCTAACTTGGATATTGAAACTGCCAATAAAGCTACTAAGACCTACCGTCTCCACAGTTCTACAACCTAATAACCCACTGAGTTAGACAGTTACCAAGGCCAAGGATACTCTTTCTTCCCAAAATCATCGTCCGTCACAGAAGACACGAGGAACTGGCTGTCCTTGGCCCACTTCTGGATGCAGGGCATGTGGAAGATGCAGAAGCACCCCGAGCAGCTCCAGACCTACGGCGAAGGTTCAGACACACATGACGCGATGCACTTTTTAATCATAGCACTTTAGGTGACTATCACATTAAACTATTTTCAAGACTCATCAATAGGATTAAAGGAAAAAAAATATTTCTTCCCAGTGGAACAGAAGAAATGTTCTTCATAAAAATGTATGTCAATGTAGAAAATGTTCAAGAAAAAAATTAATCACTCAGACTCATTTAGCTAGAAATAACTGCTAACATCGTTCTAGACAGCCTTTAATTATATATATACATATATAACTAACTATATAATACATAAATGTATGATTATATACACATAATAAAGATATAAATATGTGTACATATATTTTTAAAATGAGGACATATTATATTGGCTGATATGTGACTTTACACTTATTTTTAAACAGAGCATGAGCATTCACCCTTACCAAATATGTCACGTAGATTTATGTGCCTCATTTATCATTTCCAACTATAAATACACTACAGGGGAAGACTTAAACATAAATATGTACATATATGCCACATGGCCCATTTGTTATGTGAAAACTATTAGTCTAGTACTTAACAGTGCTAATGTATAAACATTAGGTGAGTAAGAACATGAGCACACACACAGTTTAGAAGCTTACTACTACTAGAATAACTTTTTAAACCTGTTACATTGATATATAACTGACAAATTAGTTTGTCTTTTAACATTTACAACTCTTTGATAAAAATCAAACATGCAACATTTGCATAAGCTGGCAACATTTTAAAAAGCCAAGTTCTTATTCAGGTTTCCCACATGCAGCGCCTGGGCTGAGAACCGGGACACAGGAGCGAGGGGACGAGTTCGGGAAGACACGCCAAAGAAGGTCGGCTGCTGACCTGGTTACTGCGAAGGGCACAGACGTGAGACTCTGCGGAGGACCCCCAGAAGAACCACGCAAGGTTTGCAGTGGACTCCCCAGCCACACCTCCTGAGAGAAGGCAGGGTGTTCGCCTACACTCCCCAGGGTGTCTGCACTGCCTGCCTGCTGGCTGAGGTGGTTCCCCGAGAGAAAACCAGGAGGTGGGAAAAAACCACCCACAGGGCAAGTATCTAGAGGGGGTCTACACCCGCATGCAGAAAGACGACTCGTCATGGCAGCTGAGGTCGGTCAGCTGACCAGAGGCGGGTCTGGGCAGCAAAGGCATCCACGTGGACCACACCGTCCTGTCCCTGCGTGGTGAAGCTCTGCCTCACGGCACGGCCAACTGCGTTCCCTGGGCTTGGTTGTCCCTCTCTAGGCAGGGCTGCCACCCTAGCAGTGGATTGATCTGAGGCCTCAGAGCTGAGTAGGACATACTCGGTCGTGACTTCGTCCCTGTTCCATTAATGCCCTTTACGTTTACAGATAACTTTGCTGTGAGGCCACACCCTTCCAAGGGTCTTCTCAGTGGCCTTGCCCCTTCCCATGGTGTCGTCAACACAAGAGACCAGCGCTAATGAACGTAAATGCCACCACCATGTCCTCTTCCTTAAAGGCTGCAACCGTATCTGCCTTTTTTCCAAAACCATTGACAGCAAAAATATAGCCTATTGTGACATTTTCTATTTTAGGGAATCCAAGTACAGATGCGAAAAGTGCTTTAGCCAATCAACGTTCATTAAATCGGACATACTGGGTTGTCGGGGAAGTCATGAGACATTTTTGCAGAGAAAAACGGAGAAAATATGTCATGACTTTCCCAACTACCTAATATTTGCTTCAGCTATTCCATTACAACAGCGCTAAAAATATCAGATACTCATTTCGAGAGAATTTTTTAAATTATATATTTACAAACTGAAGATCAATTAGTACACAAACTTCTCAAATGAAGCACTTTTAAACAAAAGTAGGCACAAGAATGATAGATGTTTAAGTGTCCACACATGAAATAAGGTGTTTTGGAGAGCTGCGTTCGCAGAGCTGAGGAGGACTTACAGCTTGGCTCCTCTTCACAGACGCGATACAGATGAGGCAGGTCATGGCCCCCGCCTGGAAGGCTTCGTTGACATACTGCTTGGTCCGCTCCAGCTCGCGCATGTCTCCGTCTGGAAATGGAAAAATTGAAAAGCTCGTGTTAAGCAACGTCTGAAAATACCACAAACTCACTAGAAGGACTTCCTGACAAAATCACCTGCTCAAACTGAACGATGGCTAAAAACCAGATTCTTTACAAAGTGAGCAGTGAGCTGCCGGGAGGGCCCCACGCCCAGGCGTTAAGTCTCCATGGCTGATTGGTAACAGTGCCTCTGCTCTTCCCGTACTGCTGCCTTCGTTGGTGTTGTTACAGTCCTTTACACACCCGCTGCGGGCAGAGCCACAGTGTGAGGGTGTGGGTGTGTCTCCCAGAATCCACGGGGTGAACTGTGTTTGCTGGTGTAACTGTTTTAAGATGGCAGAAACTTACCCTGACCACAGCATTAAGAGCAGGGACCTGGGTCAGCAGGTGGCATGGTGGTTAGGGTGCTGGAGCCCACAGAGCCCCTCTATGGTGAGTCAGACCCAGCAGCTTGGAGAACACCCTGGGCATGTGTGTGCATGCTCAAAATCCCGAGAAGAGAATGGAGGAGAAGAGACTGCGGCATGTCCCTCCCCCCAGGGAGGTGATTTCTTTTTTTTTTT